TGATAATGAAAAGCAAAGGATGGACTGTAAAATATTACTATTCATTTGAACGGTAAGGAGTTGACCATTTGCTCCTCTTCTCATATATAAAATCGGCTAAAGAAAGCTAGACGAACAGAAACACAAAATAAATGTATGAAGTCAAATGATATGAAGTTACTTTCACAAAAAATCCGCCAATGCCCAGTTTCGGCACTCGACGACCAGGACCACCATTGCGCATCCCACGACCTCGACCGCTTATTCCCATAACCACCCCGAAACCGGGGTTTTCCAATTCCTCTTCATCCACTTGTTCTGAAATTATACATTTCAAAATAACTACTAGGCTGGATATGAACTGAACAAACTAAATAACGCAAATAACTGTCAGTCCGTTGGCAGCTGCATTGCTGTAAATCCATACAAGTGATTTTCCCATGTTTAATTTTCCAATATCATTTTAAAAAAGTTCAAAAATAGCTGCAACCCCAAAAATTGCTAGAGTGAGGTCAAAAAATTCAGACCTGCCGAGCTAAACATCATAAATTACTGAATGGATTAGCAGCTAAGTCCATTGTTATGTGCTTTGACACTAGTTGGAAACTTCTCCTTGACTAGCTCTTCAAGTAAGTGAATAAACTCTACCTTCGAACGAATGCGTTCGAGGAGCAAAAATAAAGGAAGGGAACTCGAAAGGGGAATCGGCGGAAGACGGCGGATATCGCAAAAGTGCGCCACCGTAGCGATGATGCAACACTTCCAGTGCACATTTGTTGATTGTGGCATTGTCACATATGATAATGTTGTAAGCATCGCATGAAGCATTGCCGTGTGGTCGACACAGCGAACAGCGAAAGCCATTCTCGGATGCCGCTTCGAATACCTCCTCGCCGAACAATTCCTCGCATTTACCATGAAGCCATCTGGAAGAAAATCGCTCCTCAAAGAAATATTGCGGAGCCTGGCCGCAACTTGCCAAAGTTTACGGGACTACAGGAAACTAGCTCTCAAGTAGCTCCCCACTACATGCACCATAGGTCTTATATTTTCTGAATCATCAAAATAACCCGGGTGCAATATTTAACAGCTGTATCTTTAAGAATAAAAATCCAGCACCAAGAGAGTGCGAAGGGAAAAGAGTGCTGCGGCACGTGATGGTAGAATCAAACTTTTTCTGCAGCGCAATTTAGCCCAACGGAAAATTTGGAGAAGCACACCGTATAAGTGAAATAATTAGCAAGAAAGGCCATCGCTGCTAATGATTTAAACCAGTTCAATTCCAAAAGCAGCGAGATAAGCAAGCATAAATATGCGCTAGTACACAGAAAAGCTTTAAATCATAAAAACAGAAAAAGCCTTTCGGGAAAATTCATGTCGAAGTACAGAGAAACGGTGGAGTGAACTCTCACCTTGCGCAG